GTTTGATGGTTCGTAAGGCGTTTGATGGTTCGCCAGGCGTTTGATGGTTCATGGGCGTTTGATGGATTCGCCAGGCGTTTGATGGTTCGCCAGGGGTTTGATGAACTTTCGCCAGGCAGGCGTTTGATGGTTCGCCAGGCGTTTGATGGTTCGCCAGGCGTTTGATGGTTCGCCAGGCGTTTGATGGTTCGCCAGGCGTTTGATGGTTCACCAGGCGTTTGATGGTTCGCCAGACATTGGAGAAATCGCCCGAGCATTATGGTTCGCCAGGCGTTTGATGGTTCGTCAGGTATTAGATGATTCGCCTGGGCTTTATGGTTCGCCAGGCGTTTGATGGTTCGTCAGGCGTTTGATGGTTCGCCAGGCGTTTGATGACTCGCCAGGCGTTAATATAACCTTCTTCTGTCTCCGTCTATCTCTCAGTTTATCACATTCTCTTTATGTCTCTCCCGAATAATTATATTTTCTCTCTTACTTTTATTTATTAGTTATTTTATTTTATTTCTTATTATTTTATTTTTTTTTGTCTCTTTCCTTAACATATTTAATCATATTTTTATTAAATATTCTTCTTGTTTTATTTTATTTCTTATTTTATTATATTTGTTCTATGTTTTTTTTCTCTTATTTTCTGTCTTATTTTTAATTATCAGTTATTTTATTTTATTTCTTCCTTTATTGTTTATTAGTTTTGTTTCTATTTTATCTCCTCTTTTATTATATTTTTCTGTCTATTTCATAAACATTTTCTGTCTAGTTTTTTTTTCATTGGTTGTAATGTATCTGTCGTGTGTGTGTGTGTGTGTGTGTGTGTGTGTGTGTGTGTGTGTGTGTGTGTGTGTGTGTGTGTGTGTGTGTGTGTGTGTCTGTCCATCACATTATCAACGGAATAACGAGGGGTGGGAGGAGGGGTTGGTGGCGGGGTGTGGGGGGGGGAGGGAGATGATAATGACCAGTCTGTGGGGAGTTAGGGGGTGGAGGGGAGTGGGGAGATTGACTAGTCTGTGGGGAGTAAAGGGAGATAGTAGGGAGGGAGAGGGGAGGAAGTAGAGGCGATTTACCAGTCTTATGGGGAGTAAAGGAAGGGTGGGGGTAATAAGGTGGGAAGGATGGAAGGGAAGGTAAGGGAGAGAATAGGTAATAGGGAGTAGGAGAGAGAGAGAGAGAGAGAGAGAGGGGGGGGAGAGAGAGAGAGGTTAATGGCCAGTGTGTTGGGGAGAGCGTCGCGTCATGGGGAGCGGTTCAGGCCAGTTAGCTCCCACATTTACTGCTGAGGATCATAATGACGTCAAAGATTTAAAATATGATCGGGCGTGAAAAATACTGACGAGGTTCCCGGCAGCTCAGGTTACAGGGAAATGTGATATGTGATGGCTTGTTTAATGTGTCGCAGTGTGTGTGTGTGTGTGTGTGTGTGTGTGTGTGTGTGTGTGTGTGTGTGTCTTAACTGACTGTGAGAGACGTGTGTATGTGTGTCTCTCTCTCTCTAATACAGTAACGGGAAGGAAAGTCTCTTAACTGATGGGTTAAGAGACACCAAACTCTCTCTCTTTTCCTTTGGTCTCTCTTAACTACAGACACCAGTATGTGTCTAACTGGCTGAAAATGGCACCTTAATTATCCTGTGACTCTACCTCAACTAATTACCTTGATTTTAACCCTAATTGACGTATCTTTAGTCAAATTAATGAATAAATCTCTAATCTTAAGTTAAAAAAATTATCCTTAGCCAAACGACAAGAATTGAGTGTGTTAAAAATTACACTTAAATGAATAACCAAAAAAATACAATACCTTCACACCTACATTATACATTTATTTATTGTATTATTTATGTATAATTTATTTTATTACTATCATTATCTTACCACCGACTTAGCGCTGACACTCAAGGCGATATTCCATTGATTTCCCTCAGGATTTAAACCATTAGTAAGTGGCCCGGACAAGATAAGGATATATTTCTCCTGATTTATTTACTGTAATATTTTTCTTCTTCTTTCTGCCACCTGTCAATTGGTTCAGGTAATTCATGACAGGTGGGGAGACTTCACCTGTTATTTTACCTGTTGGAATTGTCACCGAGTTGTCATGGATAATAATAACAATAACAACAATAATAATAATAATAATGATTCGTGTAATCTTAAATTTACACTGTCAAACACACACACACACACACACACACACACACACACACACACACACACACAAGTCTCTGTCTCCCGCTGTTTCATTTTTGTTGACAATATATAATTTAAGTCGGGTATTTAATGCACAAAGAGGATATTGGAGTCATTCTTAGGATTTGGAGGGACGCCAGTCTTAGTGTGTACACGTGATGGTTGTGTTCATACATACATACATACATACATACATACATGAATAGGGTACATATAAACATGATCAGACAAAAACAGATGCATGATATATGTACACACACAACTCCATACATACATGGATGTTTATACTCACAACACACACACACACACACAGATATATACACATACACACAAAAAGATGCACACACACACATGCAAACAAACACTGATCTTCATAAAGGAAAAATACACAAACACACAAACTGCCGACAGCAAGAGTATTTACACATATAAAATATTTACTTCGGCAAACACCTCTATACATGCTTGAATACACACACACACACACACACGCACACGCACACACACGCACACACACACACACACATATATCTACGCGTGTGTGTGTGTGTGTGTGTCTGTTTGTTTGGCTCTCCTCTTAACCTTTCTCGTTGTGGGGATTAAACTATTTTCAGTATTTAGTTATTTTGTCTAATTGATCTCTGTCGTAAATAATACACAACCAAAGATTAATTTACATAGACTATTGTTATTGATAATTAATCGTCTTTAACAACAGTGGCCTCGTCTTGTTCAGTAGATGAGAAAGAGATTACAGGATCGTTAACTCGTGGGATAAAAGTGGGTCACCTCATCTAGCACTCCGTCGACACATAATCCGGATTAAGCTAAAAGAACGATCGCTTCCAAAGGTAAACAAACAAGAGAGGAGGAGGTGGTGGGTGTGCTTGGGGGGTAGGGTGAGGAGAGGGGAGGAAGGGGAGAGGAGGGAGGGTAGGGGGGGGTAAGGCCAAGTCTTGTGGGACACCCTAAGTCCGACCCTGCCTGAAATATTCACCAACTCCAGAGAGAGAGAAGAAAAATCAAGTGATTCTATCAATGATGTAGCGCCCGTTTAGATCCAGTGTTGGGTGGCCGGAGAAGCACTGGGAGGTGAGAGCGATCCCTGTGTGTGTGTGTGTGTGTGTGTGTGTGTGTGTGTGTGTGTGTGTGTGTTTACGGGTCTCTTGGAAGCTTGTACGGTAATATAAGTGGGGATGTGAGAACGTATCTAACTTACTCACTTGAGATGATGTGTAAAATATGACGGCCTGTGGGTGATGCGTGGGGTGTGCATGGGGTGTGGGGTGATAGGGAAGGTGTGGGGTGATTAGGTGAATATATACTAAAATTTCTGAGCTCCTGGGATCATAATTACTGGTCTGGCCTCATCTCAAATGTCGACGAAAGTTGATTGAATATTCTTGTCAGAGTTTAGAGTTAAAAAAAGAATTAAGTCGACACGAGGATGAGTAAAATCGTATACAGTGTTTATGGACTTGGGTTCCATGATCATGTTAATCGTCGACAAAAAAAATTAAAGGGGTTCAGTAAAGAGACTTGGGGTACTCCATAAGTGATGATAACACAGTCTAATAAATCACATTAATACTTGTTGCAGTGTAGTGTTGTTGTTATTGTCTACGTAATCAAAGGTTGTCTTAAGATCATTTATGGTCATGATTGTCTGGGTTATTCAGGAGTTAAGGCATTGTTGGCCACTTTCCTCTCAGCTGACGGTATAATGATCCATTACTTCCCATAACTCGCCCAGGTATCACCCCCTTGTGAGTCGTCCACTGTCCATCGCTTCAAGTGTTACACCGACGAGCCCAGGTTGTGTTGACGTGGGCGAGGGTAGTGTTGTCAAGGTAAACACAACAGCACTCAGACTGATGGCTGTATACAGACACTCCTAGATAACCCTTACCCTCCTCCAGAACAAGGTCCACGACACAGACACATCCTGGGCTTGGTTTATTAACGATGGACCCAAGCTGCTACTTACCTAGTCCAAGCCCAAGTAGTTCTAGTCTCCCGGAAATGATCGTCGAGAGGTCACCGCGGCAGGTAACTAGACTATCACCTGTAGTAATGATGTAGTCACTGTGTTGGTCGTGTTGTGGGTCAGCAGATGAGAAGATCAACACACAGGTAAGTCATCCTCTTAAGATTGTAAGAGTTGGGTGTAGCCTCTACCTGGTGACGTGGTAGAGGCGTCAGGTACACCATCAGCTGGTGTTGGCTGAGGACAACAGTTGGCACCAGCGTCACCAAGTTTGTTCTCACTGACAGCACCCTCCCCCCCTCCTCCACCTTGATCTTGTTTCTCCCACACGTTCTTCAAACTGCTGAAATGTCTGAATGTCTGTACAGTATGTCCTTATGTCTAGTCTTGTGTCTTTTAAAGTTATTAGTAGGAGAGACAGAGGTTTACTTTCTGCTTTTTGGATTTGCTCTGTAATTCTTTTAGGTTGTTAAGATAAATTTTACCACCACACAAACAGAACTACACCTAACTGAGCAGATTAAGCCATGACTCTATACGATAACAACCAAAATGGCGTCAAAAATCCACTGAGACTCGACTGTCACATGGAATAAAATCTTCACTCACCACTCAAAGAAAAGCTGCCATTATATTTTTTAACCGTGACCTTGTGAATCTGACCCTTGACCCCCCTTTTGACAACTCAACCTCTATATTACGTATATTTTTGTTTATTGACGAGGATCGGCCAACAGCTGTGGACGCCAGAGTGCAAAAAATACGGCCATGTAAACTGACAAACAACTGTAAACATTGGTAGAGAACAAACACACACTCAACTTTTGCTGCTAGATGAACAACCCGGTGTGTTGGAGAACCCGGTGTGTTGGAGAACCCGGTGTGTTGGAGAACCCGGTGTGTTGGAGAACCCGGTGTGTTGGAGAACCCGGTGTGTTGGAGAACCCGTGTTGTGTTGGAGAACCCGGTGTGGAGGGTGTGTTGGAGAACCCGGTGTGTTGGAGGGAGCCCGGTGTGTTGGAGAGCCCGGTGTGTTGTGTTGGAGACCCCCGGTGTGGTGTGTGTTGGAGAACCCAGTGTGTTGGAGAACCCGTGTGTTGGAGAGCCCGGTGTGGTGGACCCGGTGTGTTGGAGAACCCGGTGTGTTGGAGAACCCGGTGTGTGGAGAGCCTGTGTGTTGGAGAACCGGTGTGTTGGAGGGAACCCGGTGTGTTGGAGAACCCGGTGTGTGTTGGAGGAACCCGGTGGTGTGTGTTGGAGAACCCGGTGTGTGGAGAACCCGGTGTGTTGGACCCGGTGTGTTGGAGCCCGGTGTTGGTGGAGAACCCGGTGTGTTGGAGGACCCGGTGTGTTGGAGAACCGTGTGTTGGAGAACCCGGTGTTGGTGTGTTGGAGAACCCGGTGTGTTGGAGAACCCGTGTTGGAGAACCCGGTGTGTGGAGAGAACGGTGTGTTGGAGAACCCGTGTGTGTGGAGAGGCCCGAACAACACGGTGTGTTGGAGAACACGGTGTGTTGGAGACCCGGTGTGTTGGAGAACCGGGTGTGTTGGAGAACCCGGTGTGGTGGAGGCACGGTGTGGTGGAGAGCCCGGTGTGGTGGAGAACACGGTGTGGTGGAGAGAGGTGTGTGGACCGGTGTGCGGTGTGGTGGAGAACCCGGTGTGGTGGAGAACCGGTGTGGTGGAGAAGTGTGGTGGAGAGCCGTGTGTGGATAACCCGGTGTGTTGGAGAGCCCGGTGTGCTGGAGAACACGTGTGGTGGAGAACACGGTGTGGTGGAGAACACCGGTGTGTGGAACCCGTGTGTTGGAGAACCCGGTGTGTTGGAGAGCCAGTGTGTTGGAGAACCCGGTGTGTTGGAGTGTGCCGGTGTGTTGGAGGCCCGGTGTGTTGGAGAACCCGGTGTGTTGGAGAACCCGGTGTGTTGGAGAACACAGTGCGTTGGAGGTGTGTTGGAGAACCCGGTGTGTTGCAGAACGTTTGGAGAACCCGGTGCGTTGGAGAACCCGGTGTGTTGGAGAACCCGGTGTGTTGGAGAACCCGGTGTGGAGAAGGTGTGTTGGGTGTGTTGGAGAACCCGGTGTGTTGGAGAACCCGGTGTTGGAGAACCCGGTGTGTTGGAGAACCTGGTGTGTTGGAGAACCTGGTGTGTTGGAGAACCCGGTGTGTTGGAGAACCCGGTGTGTTGGAGAACCAGTGCGTTGGGAAACCCGGTGTGTGTTGGAACCCGGTGTGTTGCAGAACCCGGTGCGTTGGAGAACCCGGTGCGTTGGAGAACCCGGTGTGTTGGAGAACCCGGTGCGTTGGAGAACCCGGTGCGTTGGAGAACCCGGTGTGTTGGAGAACACGGTGTTGGAGAACCCAGTGTGTTGGAGGACCTGGTGTGGTGGAGAACCCGGTGTGTTGGAGTACCCGGTGTGTTTGGAGAACCCGGTGTGTTGGAGAACCCAGTGTGTTGGAGAACCTGGTGTGTTGGAGAACCTGGTGTGTTGGAGAACCAGTTATATCAGTCTGATTCATGCAATATATAAAATTCAGTTCTGTATATATATATATATATATATATATATATATATATATATATATATATATATATATATATATATATATATATATATATATATATATATATATATACACTAATAATATAAAAAGTGTTTAAGAAATATATATTAAGCAAACTATATCCAGTATATGTTAGGAAAGTTATCTACTGATTATGATAATGATATACTTGGAAAATATACAGTGATATGTTATTAATAGTTAACTAGTAAATATACCTAAGCGGAAAATAACATTGATATATGATTGAGGAAATAAACTGAAGAAACATTATAGGAGAAATAGCTCGAATATTATATATGATTTACTGAACATATATATTAATCTTTTAGGATATAAATGTGAGAGATATTCTTTGGTGTTTGTTTGTCCTGGGGGAGTTAATAAGGTGAATATAAACTAGCTGATTTAATACACATACATACATACATCCATTCATACATACATACATTCATACATACATACATACATACATACACTCCTATAAACATACAAACACACAAGGACAAGGTTACTTAAATATTAGACATATGTGACCCTCCTCCCTCCTTCCCTCCCTCCCTCCCTCCTCTCCCATTTCTCCTTTCACCCCCCTCCCCACCACCCCTCCCTCCCTCCCTCCCTCCCTCACCCCTCCACACCCTTCCTGCCTCTCCCTTCCCTCAACTTTTTTTCCCTCCCACCCACCATTTTCCCTCCCTCCATCCCTACCTCTCCCTCTCTCTCTCCTCCCTCCTCTCCCCTCCCTCTCCCTCCCCTCCCTCCCCTCTCTTCCCTCATGCCCTGGCAGCACACAGTCAGACATAGTCATGATATAATATCATCACAAACCATCCCAATAATTCAACCGGTAAATATATACACCATACAACTATACTGATATATACACCATACAACTATACTGATATATACACCATACAACTATACTGATATATACCATACAACTATATGATATATACACATACAACTATACTGATATATACACCATACAACTATACTGATATATACACCATACAACTATACTGATATATACACCATACCTATACTGATATATACACCATACAACTATACTGATATATACACCATACAACTATACTGATATATACACCACACAACTATACTGATATATACACCATACAACTATACTGATATATACACCATACAACTATACTGATATATACACCACATACTGATATATACACCATACAACTATAAATATACACCATACAACTATACTGATATATACACCATACAACTATACATATACAATATGATATATACACCATACAACTATACTGATATATACACCATACAACTATACTGATATATACACCATACAACTATACTGATATATACACCATACAACTATACTGATATATACACCATACAACTATACTGATATATACACCATACAACTATACTGATATATACACCACACAACTATACTGATATATACACCATACAACTATACTGATATATACACCATACAACTATACTATATATACACCCCTATACTGATATATACACCATACAACTATACTGATATATACACCATACAACTATACTGATATATACACCACACAACTATACTGATATATACACCATACAACTATACTGATATATACACCATACAACTATACTGTATATACACCATACAACTATACTGATATATACACCACACACAACTATACTGATATATACATCATACACTTTAATATACAATACAATACTGATATATACACCATACAATATACTGATATATACACCATAACTATACTGTTATATACACCATACAACTATACTATATATACATACAACTATACGATATATACACCATACAACTATATGATATATACACCATACAACTATATTGATATATACACCATACAACTATATTGATATATACACCATACAACTATATTGATATATACACCATACAACTATACTGATATATATACCATACAACTATACTGATATATACACCATACAACTATACTGATATATACACCATACAACTATACTGATATATACACCATACAACTATACTGATATATACACCATACAACTATACTGATATACCATACAACTATACTGATATATACCATACAACTATACTGATATATACACCATACAACTATACTGATATATACACCATAAACTATACCATATATACACCATACAACTATTGATATATACACCATACAACTATACTGATATATACACCATACAACTATACTAATATATACACCATACAACTTACTGATATATACACCATACAACTATACTGATATATACACCATACAACTATACTGATATATACACCATACAACTATACTGATATATACACCATACAACTATACTGATATATACACCATACAACTATATGATATATACACCATACAACTATACATTATACACTATACAACTATACTGATATATACACCATACAACTATACTGATATATACACCATACAACTATACTGATATATACACCATACAACTATACTGATATATACACCATACAACTATACTGATATATACACCACACAACTATACTGAGATATACACCATACAATTATACTGATATATACACCATACAACTATACTGATATATACACCATACAACTATACTGATATATACACCATACAACTATGCTGATATATACACCATGCAACTATACTGGTATATACACCACACACAACTATACTGATATATACCCCAGCTATATGATATATACACCATACAACTATGCTGATATATACACCATACAACTATGCTGATATACACCATACAACTATACTAATATATGCACATACAACTATGCTAATATATACCACACAACTATACTGATATATACACCATACAGCTATACTGATATATACACCATACAACTATACTGATATATACACCACACAACTATGCTAATATATACACCATACAACTATATAATATATACACCATACAAGCTATACTAATATATACACCGCACAACTATACTGATATATACCATACAACTATACTGATATATACACCATACAACTATACTGATATATACACCATACAACTATACTGATATATACACCATACAACTATACTGATATATACACCATACAACTATACTGATATATACACCATACAACTATACTGATATATACACCATACAACTATACCGATATATACACCATAGAACTATACCGATATATACACCATACAACTATACTGATATATACACCATACAACTATACTGATATATACACCATACAACTATACTAATATATACACCATACAACTATACTGATATATACACCATACAACTATACTGATATATACACCATACAACTATACTGATATATACACCATACAACTATACTGATATATACACCATACAACTATACTGTTATATACACCATACAACTATACTGATATATACACCATACAACTATACTGATATATACACCATACAACTATACTGATATATACACCATACAACTATACTGATATATACACCATACAACTATACTGATATATACACCATACAACTATACTGATATACGACAACACTATAGGATATTTACAGAGTTATAACCATTTAAACCTAACCTAACCTAACTCATCATTGACTGTAAATTACTCCGAGTTAAGCGGTGAAGAATTTTACACTCTTTAATTACCTGTGTAAATGATGTAAGTTACCTGTGTAAATGATGTAAGTTACCTGTGTAAATGATGTAAGTTACCTGTGTAAATGATGTAAGTTACCTGTGTAAATGATGTAGTGTTTTACGTCGTTGTTATCCGAGGATGTAAACAAACGTTATCAGTCATTTACAATAAAGTAGTTAGAGTTTATGTAAATGTTGGGGAAATTATTTAACATTGTCGTTATTGAAATGTTGTTGTAGTTTGTGTGAAGAAATTGTTGCTATATTTTTTTATATATGTAAATGTTGGAAAAATTATTTATGTTTTGTGGGAATATAAGGGATTAATATTTTTTTAATACTTGACACCAATCTAACCTAACCTAACCTAACCTAACCTAACCTAACACCAATCTAACCTAACACTCACCTAACCTAACCTAACCTAACCTAACCTAACCTAACACCAATCTAACCTAACACTCACCTACTTCTTACAACACCAAATCTAACTTCTTGCTCACCTAACCTAGCCTAACCTAACCTAACTAACCTAACCTAACACCAATCTACTTCTTCTTCAACACAACCTAACCTAACTAACACCAATCTAACCTAACCTAACCTAACCTAACCTAACCTAACACCAATCTAACCTAACACTCACCTAACCTAACCTAACCTAACCTAACCTAACCTAACACCAATCTAACCTAACACTCACCTATTAAAACATAAGACTATCTGGACACGCCAATAAACCTCCACTTACCAGACCAATAACATAGCATAACATAACATAACACAGCAAACATAACATAACATATAACAACATATAACATAACATAACATAACATAACACAGCAAACATAACATAACATAACATAACATAACATAACATAACACAACAAACATAACATAACATAACATATAACATAACATATAACATAACATAACATAACATAACATAACATAACATAACATAACATAACATAACATAACACAACAAACATAACATAACATAACATATAACATAACATATAACATAACATAACATAACATAACACAGCAAACATAACATAACATAACATAACATATAACATAACATAACATAACATAACATAACACAACAAACATAACATAACATATAACATAACATAACATAACATAACATAACACAACAAACATAACATAATATAACATAACATAACATATAACATAACATATAACAACATAACATAACATAACATATAACATAACATATAACATAACATAACATAACATATCATAACATAACACAACAAACATAACATAACATAACATAACATAACACAGCAAACATAACATAACATAACATAACATAACACAACAAACATAACATAACATAACATAACATAACACAACAAACATAACATAACATAACATAACATAACATAACATATAACATAACATAACATAACATATAACATAACATAACATAACACAACAAACATAACATAACATAACATAACATAACCTAACATAACATAACATAACATAACATAACATAACATAACACAAACATAATATAACATAACATAACATAACATAACATAACATAACATAACACAACAAACATAACATAACATAACATAACATAACATAACATAGCATAACATAACACAACATAACATAACATAGCATAACACAACACAACACAACACAACACAACACAACACAACATAACATAACTTCAGCAGGACATAACATAACATAGCACAACATAACATAACATAACTTTAGCAGGACATAACATAACATAACATAACATATAACATAACATAACATATAACATAACATAACATAACATATAACATAACATAACATAACACAATAACGAGGCGACCCTTCAGTAATAACACCCCCTCCTTCCCTCTACATAAAGATAACATTAAGATAACACACTGAGAGTATTTAGAAAGTGACTTAATATCGTAATGTCAACTTGCAGCGCCTATCACCTAACTGAGGAAGTGGCTGTGTTTGGGGAAGTAATTAGCTATACCTGTAACTGTCTACTTACCTGAGGAAATATAAGGGAAGGGATTTTTTGAGGTGTTTTTTTTTTAGGTAAATACGTTTATCTTTTGTTTTTCTGGTGTGTTGGTGTGGTTTAGTTTGTAAGGGGGGTTGGTATAAGGGTGATTCTCGTGTGGTGTTTGAGTGTTGTTTTGGTTCTTATTGGGTTGTTGTTGTTGTGGTGGTGGTGGTGGTGGTGGTGGTTATTATTATTATTATTACTATTATTATATTATTATTATTATTATTTTTATTAATTTATTATTCTATTATTTTTTATTATTATTATTATTATTATTATTATTATTATTATTATATATTATTATTATTATTATTATTATTTTTATTATTATATTATTATTATATTATTATTATTATTATTGTTATTATTATTACTATTATTATTATTATTATTATTATTATATTATTATATTATTATTTATTATTATTATTATTATGTTATTATTATTATTATTATTATTATTTTTAGTGTTATTATTATTATTATTATTATTATATTATTATTATTATTATTATTATTATTACATGTTATTATTATTATCTCTATATCTTCCCTCTCATACATTAACATACAGCCTTATGTAACCACTCCTTAACAGTACTACTACCATGAACCACACATCGCCCCCCCCCCCCATAGTCTCCCCCACCCACCAAAATAAGATATGCAAATCAGATGAAAATTCACCTGTATTTCTCCCCCTCATTTGTAATCAGGTGAGCAAGTATAGACAGTGTTGGCGTCCATATTTGTCCGGAAGATATTAGTATTAAGCCCAAACACTGAAGCGTATCACGTTATGAAAATCATCTTACGCGGATGAACGCATTACGGATCTATAATGCAAGTGCGTTTAGTGATATTAAATTGTAATGAGGATAAAAAAAGGCTAAACGTACATATAGTAATCGTGTATAAATATGTTAATCCCTGTGAGTAGATTCCTATTTTACGTGAGCACATTGATGCCCCTGGTGCTCTTATGCGTGCACACACACACGTATATACACGCATGTTCATACACACATGCATATACACACGCATACATACACGTCCACACACACACACACATACACACGCACATTATAATATATGTGTAAGTCATTATACAGTTATTGTTTTTCTTCTATTACTCAACACAACAAAAGTGTAAATAAATCCAGGTAATTTGTCAAGCGTTTCCGGGTCATGTTGCGGAGGATCAGTGATGGAGGCTAGGTTAGGTTAGGTTAGGTCAGGTCAGGTCAGGTCAGGTTAGGTCAGGTCAGGTCAGGTCAGGTTAGGTTAGGTTAGGTTATTTGTCCGTACATACCGTCGTCGGGTTTTTTTATCTGCGTTAGTCAGCACAATAGACTACTTACCAGAGAGAGAGAGAGAGAGAGAGAGAGAGGGAGAGAGAGAGAGTACAGTCTTAAATATTATGATATACTCCCAAAAATATTACAGTTAACAGTCTCTAAAATTACAGTCCACAGTCTAATGAGTCTTAATAACTGGGGCATGAGGGAAGGTGTACAAGGAGGGTAGAGTCTCAGTGTAATTTTGATGCCATTTCGTCTACCATGTTTGAGTGAGTCATAATTGTACTTAATTAGTAGTAGAAATAATAATAATAATAATAATAATAATAATAATAATAATAATAATAATATTCATAATAAAAGTAATAATAATAATAATAATAAAAGTAATAATAATAATAATAATAATATTAATAATAATGGACCTTACAATTATCGCGATAATAATAATAATAATAATTTTAACAATGATAATAATAGTGTCCGTAGTAATATAATAACAATCACATTATTGTTGATAGTATTAATAATAAAATTCGGGAAAAGTAACGATAATAATTAGAAAAGGAATAGGACGATGAAACTATAATAATAATAATAATAATAATAATAATAATAAATTTATTGTATACTAATTTATTATATTACTTTTAAAATACTTTACAAATTACTTAGACCCGGTTACTGTATATTGTAAGTCAAGTAAAATATTTCTGTCGAATTTTCTTTTTGTAACTTAATATGATAGAGGTGTTATGTTACCAATATTTGATACTGTTTTACTTAATATCTCTTTATAAAACATGTAATTAATTCTTATCCTTGTAAATAAACCTATGAGTTAGTTTTTCCGCTGGGTGAGGAAGGTGAGAGTTGTGTTGGAGTATTTAACAGAGAAATAGTTGAGTGGTCCCGTGAAGAGGTCTGGCCTGGCCGCTGTCTTGACGTATACTGAGGCCAACTGACTTACGGGGAGATCAATATTGTGACTCTGGGATGAAGGAGATTGTTATTATCTCCGTAAATAAATTATATATTTGAGGGAGAGACGTAAAGTTAGAGAACAAAAGAGAATCAGCCTCCGTGCGCAGGTAGCAGCGGCCGGCCATGTTCCGCGGGGCAGAGTGAGCCAAGTTTCCAGCGCGGCGTCCACACACAGAGTGAACTGCGCAGGCGCACCCTGAAATCCATACCTGTGACGTCACGATGGAGGCTGGGAAAAGAATGTCCACTCGCTAGTGGATATTAGTTTATATTTAAAGAATCCGACGATGAAGGTTTGAGATATTTGTGTTTGTTGAAGGTAAGGAGAGGAGTAGAGTATAGCGGCAGACACGACGGCGATAAACTGTTTCCTGAAGGAGGAGGACTAGCAGGTGTTGGTGAAGAATCAGGCATCTGGCAACTAGGATGGTGACGTCACACGCCCAATGGCCGGTACAGGTGGTCTGATAGATAGACAAATACAATAAACATTGGTGCGTTAGCTTCATTTTCCTTGCAAACGTGGAAGTGACTGGAGCGCAAGTGGTGGTTGGAGGCCACACAGTAAACAGTGCAAGGAAAGTCGGACGTTTGACAGTGAATCGTAGACATCGGAATTTTGATTCATTGCGACAAAAGTTACAGCGCTATTTTAAATAATTTTCCTGCATAGTAAACTCTGGTCACGGCTAACATAAACAACGTAGAGCCTTTTACTATTTTATCACCAAAAACAGAGAGAGAGAGAGAGAGAGAGATAGAGGGAGATTAATCAGGAAATAACGACAGCTATCGCTACCACAATGTACTGCTGAAGGAAAAGTCCGGAAACAAAATGCCGGTGGTGTGATGAGGAGCGCTCGCGTCTGCCATGTTGTGTGTCTCAGCAGTGCCACCACCTAGTGAAGCCAGAGGCGCCACCCTCACCCGCCACCTCCAGCCTCTACATTATCGCCTTCTACACAACCTCCAGCTCCGACCATCCCCTTCAAGAGCACCAGTGCCTCCTCCTCCTCCTTCATCTTGTGCCCCGCCGTCAGAGGCAAGTCTTCACCGCCGCGAGAGCAACTAATCTGACAGTAAGGGGATCTGGGTGGAGGCTGAGCCCTAGACAGATCACTGGCCTCCTGAGCCCGGCACGAGGGACACCCCAGGTAAAGGAGATAGAGAGAGGATTTCTTCGTTGGAAAATTGCGGATCAAAGTGGCGTCCAAGACATGAAGTTAATGGTTAGAGTGTCCCGTTTGTTGCCGCCCACCGCCGCCCGCTGGTAACACACAACACGGTACAGTACCTTACAGTGGTTACGGTGTGTTACGAGTGTCACTTTGGTGGTGTTGTTACGCTTAGACACTCACCTCCGTCACTCACCGACACTCACGTCTTATACAGCGGCATAATTAATCTCGGTGTTTCCTTGTTAGATCAGAACGGGATTTATTTAACTCGTGGTTTATGAATCGTTTGTTAAGTCGGTCGGTCTAATCCTCCCTCCCGCCTACCAGCGACACTCCGCGCCCCTCCCGCGTGTCCGACACTCTCAGCCGCCAACACCCGCTGCTACACACACACACGTTCACCAGGTCCTGCAGGATGTATTCCCCAGACAAGATGATGAGTTCCAAGCCTCTAGGAGCGCCCATCTCTTCGAACGGCCCAGCGGCGTTCACGGGGCGGTATAGTCCTACTTACCGTTCGCCCGACCCCATGAGAAGATGTATGAGCAACGCGCCAGTGTCGGTAAGTAACCTGCCTCACCTGTGTCCCTCACCCCTACCCTTATTGAAGGTTATCTCTCCTCCCATTTATCTTATATTGTCACTTTAAGACCGTCTTGTCTTCGGTGTTTTTCTGTGTGTGTGTGTGTGTTGTAGGAATACCTTTGTTTACAGTGATTAAACCCCCGGATAATGTTACTTACGTGTTGTGGTGTAGTCACGGCGGCGGCATCATTAGTGTTAGCGGTGGAGAACAACTGACGACGATGCTCCTGGGGATTTATTCTCCTCCTCCTCCTCCTCCTCCGTCGTGCATGAATACAATGATCTAATTTGATATTCTTGAGCGCTGACATTTTTAATAAGATATGAGACTACAGGTTGAGTAGCAAGTATAAATTACTGAACGGTTTGACGGTCATTCATTGTCATTCACACTCGAGCGTTCTTCCGTGTTTACAGCCCAGTGAGGAGACATTACTGTTTGTGTTGTGTAGGAGCTGAGGCCCTCTGTCACTCTGAGGCCCTCTGTCACTCTGAGGCCCTCTGTCACTCTTTCCTCCCTTCCTTTGACGCTCACACATACCTGGACAACAACACTTCACTATTACCACACATCGACGGGGAAGTGAATGTTATCGAGATTCTCACATCAATTATCGTGGTTATCAGGCAGCGTGTGTGAGTGCGAGAGTTAGTGGAGTGTGTTGTTTGAGTGCGAGAGTCTGTGAGTGTGTTAAAGCAAGACATATTTATTATACGTTTTTTATCACTGTTAAGATGGCCTTCTTCCTCTCAAATCCTAACCTCACTATCTTCCCTCACCATCTTCTCACTATCTCATCTCCTCACCATCTCCTCACTACATATACCTACAGCCTATACAGTATCACCCGTCTACATAAACCACTGCACATGACATATTGTAATAAGTCTAAAATATCTCAAGCTGCGGTAAGGACTTGTGGCTCCCCTGATGTCTGTGTGTTTGTTTGTCAGGTCAATAACTCTCTCTCCCAGGTGTTGGTAACCGTCAGTAATTAACATGAATTACCTGTTCTGGTTATTTATAAACTTTGGTCAATTTATTTCTATAGGTTAATTAAATACTAAAATATCAAAGAATAAAATATAAAAGTCCCCAAATAATTGTTTCATCATTCATCGATTTTTTTTAGACGAATAATAAAGAAAAACTAAATAATTAAACCTCATTAGATAAAGTGAGTTACCTTTGTTATCACCTACATCATTAAATAAATGCATAATGAAAAATCTACACCATGGACTATTATTCATATTTACTAACAATAGCTAATGACGTAACGATAGACAATTTGTGGAAAAAAGAAGAAGAAAATGGTTTAATTAAAATCACTTTGGTAGGTGAGGGGGGGGAGGAGACTTGCTTGACCTAATACCTACATTTTTCATGGTGTTCCGTCCGGGTCTGCTGGCAGGTGCATTATTTAACCCCACCTCTGGTTAATGTTAATTGTCTGGCCCCATCTGCTTTTACTAACTCTCAACCGCGGTGGGGAGTTGTTTTGGTTTTGTCTTGTTTAAATAAATTCGGTTTCTTTATTTTTATGTTTTGGTTCATTGGTTTTTTGTAGGTTTATTCTTTTGGGGGCGGGGGGAGGGAATATTAATTGTTTTTAGGGGAATATTGAATTTTTTAGGGGAATTTGAATTTTGAGGGGAATTTGAAGCTTTTTAGGGGAATTTGAATTTCTGTAGCGAATTTTCAATCTTTTTAGGGGAATTTTAAGATTTTTGGGGGGATTAATTTTTTTTATATTGGGGAGAAAAAATAAGTTTGTCTTGTATTTTTCGCTAATAAATAATATCCTCAATCTCGCTATAGTTAACATATAATCTACTTATTTATAGAAGCGTTAAATTTTATTGAATCTATTAGAAAAATGTATAAACTCTTAAAAATTATTCAAACATAATTTTTGTTTATATTTCTATTCCTTTAAAATTACAAAGTATATAAATATATTTTTTTTTGAGCGGGAGAATAGTTTAGTTTATTTTCTCTACGTGATGATAAGATAATTTTATTTTATTTTCTAGACCAAATTTATTCTTGAGTTTAATGCCTGGGAAAAAAATATTTCTTATTTTTCTGAGAATATATTTGTTATAAGTATTTCCAGCGCTAAAGAAATATATTTGAACCGTTTGTATAAAATCTCTACGTATTATTGAGTTATTTCCAATATTTCCAGCGCTAAAGAAATATTATCTCGTCCTTAATATTAAAAACGATTTATTTCCAAACAATTTATTTCCTTGTTTTATTATTCCTCGCAATTACTTTTCAAGATAGTGTTTAATTAAGTCTGTTTGTTTGTCTGTCAGCTTATCGCCATACGCCAAACGCCTGTCATTTAGCGATCTACTTGTTGTCTTTCTATCTATCTGTCTATCTTTCTATCTATCTATCTATCTATCAATCGCCTTATATGGTTCTCAGGCATTAGCCGACCGACACCCCGAACACGTTAAGTCGGACAGTTTATTGGTTAGTCGGGCCGACCAATTATAACCGAGGCATTTTACCGCAAAGGAACGAATAATTGGTCGGTTGGTGGTAATTCGTCGGTTTCTTAGCCCACCTCGGCCCACCCTAACCCACCGTAACCCACCCTAGCCCACCCTAAACTCACCTGCTGATTACCTTTTAGCGGTCACCTGATCTCCCCCCCCCTCGACTCACCTAGGGTCATAGACTCACCTAAGAGAAGTAATTTAGCAGTCACCAAATTCAAACTGAACCCACCCCAGCCCCACCACAGCCCACTTCAACTCACCACAGCCCACCATAGCCCACCTAATCCACCCAGGCCATAAATTCGGTGTTGACAATCAGGTGTTACCAAGAGGCTGCCTCACCTGTCCGCTGTGGGTCATCAAGTCACTATTTACCTGGGCAGTAATCGCACCCCGCCCGCCCGCCCACAGCATCCCTCTTTCTCACGCCCACACCAGCCTTCTCTCACGCCTACACTAGCCCTCTCTCACGCCTACATTAGCCCTCTCTCACGCCCACAACAGCTCTATCACGCCCACGGCCGCTGGTTCGTTACTTCGGGCAGTGCGCTGTTGGCCACGTAAACTGTTATTCCTGTCGGCAGTTTACCTTCCGATATAACGTAAATATATGCTAACTGTAATGCAATTTTCACCGGGCGTAAACTGATTCATAAACAATGTTCGCCAGGCGTATGAGATATAAGTCTTTTCGCCTGGCATCCGCTGAACCATAAATAACTTGTGTCAGGCAAAGATATAACATTACTATAGTGTTCGCCAGGCGTACTGCAACCGTCAATTAATACCACCACCAACGTTCGTCAGGCATAATAGAATTCACAAAAATTAATACCATCCCAACGTTCGCCTGGCGTATACGCTAATTCACACACACACAAACAATAACAGCAGTTCTAGCACTCCATCATCCGCCAGACGCAAGCATTAGTCCGCCGGGTCAGTCCAACCATTTACTAAAAGCAATCCCAGGCTCAACACACACGTACACACATGCTCACAACCGATAAAATAATTTAATAAAACTCCTCCAAACTTGCCCAGTCACACGCTCGTTTAGACTACATTCTCTCCTCGGCTGGACGGAAGCATTTAGTACCCGTCCGTCCGCTGTTTTGGTAATGGGCAGTCCGGTCCAACATTAACAAACAACGTGTACTGTAGGGAAAGTTTGGTGGGGACCTGTGGGAATGTTTAGGGCAGAGCTTCACTGTGTTCCCGAGTACACCCTCCTGTTAGCTGTTGTGATGAAGCTCTAGATGTCTCTTTGTTTTAGCTGTTGTGATGAAGCTCTAGATGTCTCTTTGTTTTAGCTGTTGTGATGAAGCTCTAGATGTGTCTCCTTGCTTTAGCTGTTGTGATGAAGCTCTAGATGTCTCTCCTTGTTTTAGCTGTTGTGATGAAGCTCTAGCTGTCTCTCCTTGTTTTAGCTGTTGTGATGAAGCTCTAGCTGTGTCTCTTTTTTTTAGCTGTTGTGATGAAGCTCTAGCTGTGTTTCTTTTAGCTGTTGTGATGAAACTCCAGCTGTCTCTCCTTGCTTTAGCTGTTGTGATGAAGGTAAAAGTGATCCAACATCAGTTAAAATTAAATAAAATCTCCCCAAATTGCTTAAAATACTCGGCCCTCTAAAAACCTAACCTAACCAAAATTGCTCCGAGACTTGAGGTTAAGTGATAGTCATTTTCTCTCCGTCATATTTTAGTATGAAGAAAAATTACCGTGATATTTTTCGAAGTCCGGATTGTTGAGTGACCGAGGGATGAGTGAGTGACCAGAGTGACCGAGGGGTGAGTGAGTGACCGAGAGTTGAGTGAGTGACCAGAGTGACCGAAGGGTGAGTGAGTGACCAGAGTGACCGAGAGGTGAGTGAGTGACCAGTGACCGAAGGGTGAGTGAGTGACCAGAGTGACCGAGGGGTGAGTGAGTGACCAGAGTGACCGAGGGGTGAGTAACCTAAGCGGGATGAGTAACGAGGGTGACTTACTGGGTCACTTATGGCCGCGTCAGTGTCTCGTATTTGTTTACATTGACTGTAAGGGTTTAGCTGGCGTTTTACAGTGGTACAGAATACAGTGGTGCAGTCAACGGTACAGGATACAGTGGTGCAGTCAACGGTACAGGATACAGTGGTACAGGCAAGGTACATGATACAGTGGTACAGTCAACGGTACAGGATACAGTGGTACAGTCAACGGTACAGGATACAGTGGTGCAGTCAACGGTACAGGATACAGTGGTACAGGCAACGGTACAGGATACAGTGGTACAGTCAACGGTACAGGATACAGTGGTGCAGTCAACGGTACAGGATACAGTGGTACAGGCAACGGTACAGGATACAGTGGTACAGTCAACGGTACAGAATACAGTGGTACAGTCAACGGTACAGGATACAGTGGTACAGTCAACGGCACAGGATACAGTGGTGCAGTCAACGGTACAGGATACAGTGGTGCAGTC